CTTGTTGCTTTTCAAGACCTCATTGAAAAGCAACAAGTTAAAGTTAGTTTATGAAAGTAAAATAGTTTATTGGTATTTCATTTTGAGTTTATTTACTGATTATAAGTATTGCTTTATTACAAGTTACAGATACGACATTTCGATCACTATTGTGATCATTCTCAAGTATACAAGTTTCTTCCTATTTTTTTGTGCTGCATCCCATATTCTAAATAATACTGAAGATTACAGAACCATTATGTACGGACATTTATTACAAATTACAGATACGACATTTCGATCACTATTGTGATCATTCTCAAGTATACAAGTTTCTTCCTCTTTTTTTTTGTGCTGCATCCCATATTCTAAATAATACTGAAGATTACAGAACCATTATGTACGGACATTTAAATGCATGCGTGTATAGTAAATATATTAATATTTTGAAATCTCTGAAATGTGTAGTTGTATACTTGAGAATGATCACACCAGTGATCGAAACATCATACATGTTCTAAATAATATTCTTCCTTACTGTAAAAGCTGTAACTTGTAATAAAACATTGGTATGTAGTAGTAAATAGCTTCCTTTAAGGGAACTAGGTAGAATCAAAGTACAAGAAACATAGTAAATTGTAAGTAAATATTGGGATAAAACTAGTAAGAAAAACTGTGAACTAAATGTAACTAACTGAAATAACTTGAAGGTTATTAATATGCAGTATTTGTAACAAGTGATCACATCACAGGAAAGATTGTATACCTTATATTAATACCATAATTAGAAGTAAGTGAAATGTAGTATTATTTGAAAAACTACAAGCTCTAAAACAAACAAAAGAAGGGGAACCTGTGATTTCTGAACTGCATATTTGTATATACATCTTTGAAACTTCTTTATATATTATGCAAAGTATTGTGTTAAATTTATAGGTGCGAAAGACACTGTAGGTTAACTTAGTATAATCTTGTGTTTCATTCTCAGTCATGACTGATTCAAATAAATGTAGTTTGTTTGTTTTTTTATCTCATTACATTAACATGAACAGGACCAAAATGTAGAACATATCAAATGAGCCAGAAATCAAGGAGAAGTAAATGAAACAGAAACTACATATTTTTGGCTACAGCAATAAAACAATCTAGTTCATTTGGAACAATAAAAACTTCATGTAAAGTTATTATATTTTAGCTTACGTTTGATAGAAATACTTTACTTTCTATTTCATTTTTAAATTTGAATTAGGCCAAACTCATGCAAAACTTTGAAAAGATTAAATTTTCTGCAACAAGTTTTTCTTAAACATCTAAGTTATTAAGCATGATTACAAATGCATATTATACAATAAATCAAATAAGTAAATGTAATATTTAGGCACTTATTTATTGGGATGGATTGATATATTAATGTACATTTTTTTAGCCGGTTAAACCAAGTTTCTATGAAAAACATATCTACCAAAATTAGTATGTATGCATCTAAATCCATACAAGTATTTAAAAAAATATCATAATAATATAGGTGGTACAAATTAAAAAAAGTAATTATTAAGTAGAGCACCTTTATGCATAAATGAATCATGAAAAAAAAAGTAAAAGATATAAAAATGATGTTGAGAAATTGCAAGTTAAAAATAAATAAAAACTTTCAAAGTTGAACATGTCCATTTAACATTTCTGTTGTGTTTTAGCTATTAAGATGTATGGTTCACTTTGTTTGTTGGCTTTCGTTCAATTTGAATGTCTCGGGGCAATCAGAATTGCAGTTTTCATTTTTCCTTTTTCTAACTGCAAGATCTGTTTTGTCCTAAATACACAGAAATTAGAAATAGGTTAGTTGTAGTGAAACATTATTTACAAATTTTGTTATATTTATGTAAAAAGGGTTACAGGCTAACGTCAGTTGTTCACATATATTTTTAATACAGCCAGATATTTCTATAATTACTGTAATAATATCAGTTGTTCACATATGTTTTTAATACAGCCAGATATTTCTATAATTACTGTAATAATATCAGTTTTTCACATATATTTTTAATACAGCCATATATTTCTATAATTACTTACATGTAATAATATCAGTTTTTCACATATATTTTTAATACAGCCATATATTTCTATAATTAATTACATGTAATAATATCAGTTGTTCACATATATTTTTAATACAGCCAGATATTTCTATAATTACTGTAATAATATCAGTTGTTCACATGTTTTTAATACAGCCAGATATTTCTATAATTACTGTAATAATATCAGTTGTTCACATATGTTTTTAATACAGCCAGATATTTCTATAATTACTTACATGTAATAATATCAGTTGTTCACATATGTTTTTAATACAGTCATATATTTCTATAATTACTGTAATAATATCAGTTGTTCACATATGTTTTTCATACAGTCATATATTTCTATAATTAATTACATGTAATATCAGTTGTTCACATATATTTTTAATACAGCCATATATTTCTATAATTACTTGCATGTAATAATATCAGTTGTTCAGACACATTTTTAATACAGCCAGATATTTCTATAATTACTTGCATGTAATAATATCAGTTGTTCAGACACATTTTTAATACAGCCAGATATTTCTATAATTACTGTAATAATATCAGTTGTTCACATATGTTTTTAATACAGCCAGATATTTCTATAATTACAGTAATAATATCAGTAATAACATCTAATACTTTGCAAGTATGTGATTAAAAAGCTATTTTTTTTCCTTGCAGTAAATTAGTAGGAAAAGGTGGAATAATTTAAGTAATCCAACAAATCAATTGTCATTAGATCACAGCTTCATAACATTGTATATGAGTTGTCAGAAAATACAGAGCAATAAGACTTGTTACTGTGATTAGGTGTGATTCACGTTTAGTGTAGAGAACTCACTAATGAATTTAAAGAGATTAGAAACCTCATACAATTAGATAGAAATATATAGAATTGATCAAATAAGACTTTGTGAGAATATTTCCAGTATCCTTTATTTATTATGTAATTATGTGTAATGGCTAAAAGTAAATTTTATCAAGAAATCTTAAAAAAAAAAAAGATATTTTTTTGTTTTGTTTTTTAATCTAATAAATTAAATATTATATACAAGTAGTTAATGTGATATAAAACTTAACACTGTTAGTTACTATATAACATAGCATAAAGTTATGTGGGCAGGAAAGATACTTCGAACAATTAGCTATACTGTTATAGGTAAGTTACTGTAATTTCATAAAACATTTGCCATTGAAAAGAGTTAAGGGTTTTTATTTTAGTTTACTCTTATATATATATTTGATAGCCTAAGCCCCACAAACAATAAAAATATTTATTACCTTACAGGAACCCTCCTCGTCTTCAACAAAAGCTAGTTGGAATTTCTTGCTTCTGTAATATTTTCTTTTTTTCAGCACATATAGTACAATAATGTCACCTATCACTGTAGCCTGCAAAGATTTATCATAACAAATGACACGATCAGAGTAAGGAATTAGTATGTAATTTAAATTAAATAAATACTTGCATGCACCACACACACGTTTATACAACACGAAAGGTCATGTAATGATCCTCCACAAATATTGACGAATATCTCCATTTTTTTTTTAATGAAGCTTTATCTTGAAATCCGTCAACTACTGTTAAGTAACTTGTGACTACAATACATTATTATTGCATTTCAAACACCTATGATAGGACTACCACGTGTAAACCAAAATAATTAATGGACTTATTAACACCATAGTTTTTTCACCTATTAGGTTAACACAGTTCAGATAGCCCATTGTGTAGCTTTGTGCTTAACAACAGACAAGTTCTTTGTTAGTTTACACATACATCAGAGAATATAATAAAAGTATATTAAGAATAATGAGCAAATAATGTTAAGAGCAACATTTAGAAACAGTTACATAAACATTCTGGGGCACAAGCAGAAGAAAATCCCTTTAATTTTTTGCTACGAGCTATAATAATGTTTTTTTCTTAAAAGTATCTAAAGCATGTTTAAAACAATAACTAATTCTGCATATCTTTTTGTTATTGGGCTTTAAAAATTGCTATATGTTGTTGTTGTTTGTTATTAAGCACAAAGCTACACAAAGGGCTATCTGCGCTCTGCCCACCACAAGTATCATAACCCGGTTTTTAGCGGTATAAGTCCGCAGACATACCGCTCTGCCACTGGGGGGGCTGCTATATGTTGAATCTAAAAAAATATGAATTTAGTGGGGATCATAACTTCAAAGAAAAATATAATGTTTTGTCCAAGTGCTAGATATGGAAATAGAACACAAGTTCAGAGGCTGGATGAGTGAAACTGTCAGCAGTATAGTTTGTCTATTGTGAAAATATAAAAGAAAGAACAGAACATGAACTATGATCTGTTTAATAATGTATATAGTAATTATTACTATTACAACATTATGGTGATTTGTGTTCAGAGGTTAATGTAATTAATCAAAACATGAAAATTTTTATTATTTCTCAAATTTTTTACCTTTACGTGTTATAAAAATTGAGGTTAGATATATAATTGATACTTGAAACTGTTGGTACTTGGTGAAACTCCATAATTACAGAATTGAGGTAAAAACAAAGACAACTGTACATTTCACAGAATCTTCATTTACTAATGATCATGGTTTCACCAGTAAAGGCATCATCAGGTACAGGTTATATATTTTTTTCTAACTTAGTTCCAGAAAAGTAACCTTCCTTTTGCTGACTATATGACCAAATTCCTTAATTTTATGTTCTCATACAACCACAAAGTTCCCTTGTTATTTTATAAATACAAAACAGGATTTAATACTGTTGTAAGTAATAAGAACAAATAATGGAGTTTTTAAATAGTGAAACAATCTCATGACAGCTGTGCTTGTGAGCTCAGCATTGTTGCTCGTGGTGTATGCAAAGCAAAATATATGAAGGTTCTCAAATATTGCCAGGTATGACACTGTAAGTCAAATTTTAGCTCAAATCCAAATGTCTGAAAATGAAAATCTGTTTTTTATTTGTTTATTTTTTTTTGTTATTGCAAATCGCAATATATTATGGTAAATTTCTGTCCATTCAAAATCACAGTGGTACATGAAAAGTAACTTAAATTTAATGAAATTACACTTTAAAACAAATTTAAGTATGAATTCACTGACAGTTTAGTAGTCTCATTACATTGCATTAAGTATCTGCTCACAAGACCGTTTTTGTTTTGTATGTTAAACTTTATAGATGTGATAGCTTTTCAGATATTGTCCTGAATGTCATGCTACTATGTTTCTAACCAGATTTTTATTTTGTTAAATATTAAATCACAGGCTGATTCAGTTTCTAATTGGCTCTTGTGTAGGCTGTATCACTACTCATAAAACAATGAAGCTCATGTTGTTATTGTTATTGATAAAATTAAACTTATCATTTATTTTGTTTGCATTAATTACCAATAGCATCTTTCAAAGATATATCAAACAATCTGTCACAACAAAACGAATTAAAATAATAAATAAAAATTGGAGATTAATATTTAAACTGACTAATTAAAAAAACATTTAGAGCATAATCCAAAGAGCACAGTAAATCATGCATCATATACTTGCTTAGTAAAATATATTTTACAGCACTTAACTAAGAATATTGAGCTTTAGGACTACTTAATAAGCAAATATGAAAGAATTGAAATTAATTTTTCTCTAACACTGACTTACCACAGCCAAAAGCCCCAGACCAGACCCAATGTTAATTAGTAAGGGTACAAAATTGAATTTTCCTCCTTTGCCATGTACAATCACAACGTACTTGATACCGTACACTTTGTAGAGAGACCTGGTGTTGTCACTGAAGTAATTGGCAAACCTATTGAACATAAACAGACATGTTGGATGAAAAAATACTGAAATAAACAATGGATATATATATATATATATATATGCTTATAAGAGATAGCGTTATTCTTAGGATAACTGACAGCACTATATGCTACAAGAAAAAAAAATTAAAAACAAAAACTGTGTTATGTTCCTTATTTTATTGTGTTATATTTCAACCTTAGGTTCACAACAGACATACAACTAGAAATAAAATGTACCTGAAATTCCAGCCTTTAGCAAGCTTAGCCTTTGGATCATCTAACCTTCTAAAGGAATATTTTGGAATGCAGTAATTTTCATCATAATCGAAATTACAATCCCATTCTATAATAATGGCAATTACTCCACCCTAAACACACATCAAAAGAAAATTCATAAGTTTTTCTTTTACCCTAATGTAAATTACATGTGTATATACAAGAAATAGAAGCAATGGAAATATACTTATAAAAAGGAAACAATGAAATAGTTAAAGGTAACGTTAGTTAATTTAAGTTTGTAACGTATTACTTACTTTCGTAGCCATAGCATCATAATCTTCCCCAGCTTCTGCAACAATTTCTCCAAGAACAAATATTGGACAAGCAGGGTTTGTTCTCGGATGGTAGTGACACCCTCGGAGGTAAGTTTTATTGCTGGTGTCAAGAATATTCCTCCTGAAAAACATACGAGAGTACCTACACTTAATAATTAATTCTTGCATATATTTTCAAGTTCATTGCAGTTATATTCAGATTATCACATTTTTATATTTGGAAATGTTGAATTATAAAAAAAGAAAACTTCAATTTTGGAAACATTTTCACTTTTAAGAAATGCTACTTTTTTTTTCCCCGAGTTTTGCAATTAAAAAATAAAAGATTTATAAGTTTATTTAAGTTTATGTATTTCTTTGAGTAAAAAAAAATTTGTTTCAAGCACTTCAGTTTAGAATTTTTAAAATCATTATTAAACCAAATTCCATTAAACAGGCAAGAAGACAACCAGCACCTGGGGAAATATTTTTTAAAGGAAAACTAAATTAATGTACGCTTCCTGGATGAACAAGAAGCTAGGTAGTTCAATTGGTAAGGAAATATGTGTCTCCAGAAAAATTACATGTTATTTAAAATTATGTATATGCAGGTGTCAAATATTTTAACAATGGATAAACAGGGTATCAAGGCTCCCACAGTGACGATAAGGAAGTCTCCAAAATTTAAAAAGAAGGCATCGTTTTTCTTAAATTTAGGATGAAAAAGAAAAACAGCATACATGGATGGATGTATGATGTGATGGGCATTAAATTCCACCAGAGCAGTGATAGGAAGAAAGAGGTGACTTATTCTCCCCTAAACTTGACCCATACATATAGATAACCCAGTTTACATTAAAAACTGGATTAACCTATTGAAGACTTAAAGGAACCAATGATTGAAACAAAAAACAAATGAAAACTATTGTGCACAGAAATTATACTAAACCAACGTACTTATAAGGTTGGAGATTCATGTTCTAAAACAGTGTTTTTCAACCATTGGTCTGGTACAACTGCCTTACCGGTTTGTGGGATTTCATAAAAACAAACAAACAAAAACAGAGAGAATATTCATATGTAAACCATAATGATATTTCATTGCACTTGCATTTGAGTGGACTGCAACGGTGTAGGGAGACAGTATCAAAAAGGTTGAGAAATGTTGTCTTAGAGGAATAGTGGAGTAAGAATCTCATTCAAGTCCACTTGAAAAAATGAATATGTTCCCCAGACTAAGCAGACTTAAGTGTCCAGTAGTGAACCATTAAAAACTTTACCTTCAACCAAGCATCTTTTCACATGACTGAAGTGAATGCTTAATGTATAAGCAAAGAGAACCTGGAAGTGGATTAAATGGCAAGATAGTTCAAAATTAAAGAAAATATCTTCCCAAGGATAAAATGAGCAACTGTGTCAAGGTACATGTAGGTTTTCATATCATGTGAATAAATGATCTGTGTACATAGATGAATACACTATGTGAAGCCGTATGTTTAAATAACTTATAATCAAGTACATCAGAAGACACAGGAGAAAGATATATAAGCTCCATAAACAGTAATAACAGGCTATAATTCATTTACTGTCATACGATTTGACAAATTCACAACTGGATGTAAGGACTTATGAAGGTAACAATGGAGAAGAATTTGGACAAAGAAGAGACACTTTCAAAATGCCTACACGAGATCAAAGTAAGACTGCTGATGAACACATAATGCCCAAAAGTTGATTAAGACATCAGATATAACAAAAATTATCATGCTGTATAAAAGATAGTTCATACAGATTCAGTAGAGTAGGACAGTAAAAGAAGTCTGAGAATATAGAGCTTTAAAATCCAACAAAACTACTGCATAACAACAAACAAAAACAATAATATGAGATAAAGGACATGACATAAACTGCTATCGAAGTGAAGAATGACTTGAAAAGTATGTGAGTACATGTGGATTCTTAGATTGAGAGAAGTTTCATCTCAAGATCAATGGAGTAGAAAAGGCCTAGTTCAACATCAATCTAAGTATTTAGTTTCCTGACCTTCCAATGGTTTGTTATCATATTTCAGTAATAAATTATAGCAACAGGTACATTAAAATCAATTCATTAAGTCTAATAACAGCATGGAATGACCCAGAATTTTTGATTCAGCACTTTAAAAGAATCCATTTTACTTAATCATGTATGATAATTCAAAGCAGTTCTAACCATTTTCAACATCTGAACTCTTTTTGCCTCTTAAATCGAGCATTCTCCAAGATTTCAAAAAACCCTTTAGTAACATCAGAAAGACTATTTATAAAAGTAAAAAATTAAAAATGTTAGTTGGCTTCTTAACTTATTGAATCACTTACTGGCTTGCATTTCTGGCTTTAAGCAAGAGGTAGGATACTAAGACAAACATATACCGATATATTCCGCAATCATAAGTTACTGCTACATTATTTATTCCATATGCTTGCTAAAATACTACATAAATATTAAGAAAAGTATTGGTCAAAATTATATTAACATACATCCACATGACTATGACAACAAATTGTATTTTCATAACAGAACGTGCAGACAAGTAAATTATCATGTAATTAAATGCCTTAGAATTGTGGATAACGTTATAAAACATAGTGCAATGTAAGCAAAGGTTTTTTCGGGTAAAACTTCTATCTCTTCTAAAACTGTTATAAACTCTGTAAGAGCTTAACATTTATAAACCAAGCATGAAAAACTGTATAAGACATGGTGCTATTAAACACGTTTCACACTTTCAGCGGAGATAGGGTCAACATTAGTAATGTTTCAGTTTAGCCAAAATGGAAGACACGGAGTTCTTTCTTCATTCTTTTTTTTTTTTCAACAGCCTTTGATTCTTGTGACCCTACTTAACTGCAATAAAATTTGGAGATGGGGGTACCAATCTTCAGCACACATTTTACTTGTGGGTGTACGAATTTTGCATTCCTGTCTCTGACCTGGCTGTTTAGCTCGTTGTGGGCATAATATCACCCTGACTGATTCACTCTCCACACTTCATAACTACCTCATACTTATAATCTAGTTTGGATCATGCTATAACACTTGGTTAACATTATAACTGCTGTCCTTTAAAAATATCTTTGACTTCTATATAAACAATATAAATCTATAGGCCAGGTGAGAACAACTGCTGAGAAAAAAAAAAATTGCACAAAGGTTGTTTTTCTGTTACTAGCAAATTAAAGATTGTATAAACACATACCTTCTGATATTAAACTTGGGAAACTCTACAAAGTTCTTGATCAACACAGTAAAATTCTTTGAAGCAGAAAGTAAGGCCTTGTTTTTTCTGGACAATAAAATGTAGACTTTAAATAATTATCACAAAATATTTTAAAGTCCATTTAAAAGAATATTCATGATTGTATATTCTAGCTTTTAACTGAAGACTAAAAACTCCATTAAAACTTAAACCAAATTTACAAAACCTTTGGAAAATATATGGAGAACAAAATCAAACAATGTTGAATGCAAACGTTTATTGGAATGGTGTGTTGAAATTCTATGAATGTGCGTATGTCCTGAAATCCAGTTTATAAGAGCATATTGTAAGAGAATATCATAATAATAAAAAAGTAGTAATCATTTACACACTTTATATATATAAAAATCAATTTATAAATTTCACTTGTTTAATATCATTCTGAAATACATGTATACATCAGTTTTATATTATGTCAACATAAGTAGTGACCACAAAACCTTCACCAATGGTTTCAAAATTTTATTAATCTTTTTCATACGCATCAACTTCTCTCTATCCTACTGTATCATTATAATGTATTTTCTCACTTCTATCATTTAAAAGGTGAAAATAATATGAAGTCCGGTACATGTAACAATGACAAATTAGTTTATTTACTATTCCATTATGTTAAATTTACTCTTGAGAATATTGTAAGTAAAGTCTTTAATGGGCAAAGTTTTTTTTATAAAGCTTGTTGACAATATTAGTCCTGTGTTTTACTTAAACAGATTAGACTTTAATACAGAGGATTATTTCAACCATCTAAAAACTTCTGAAGATTAAATTAAGCCACTGGTAAATGAGCAACATTAACTTGTTTCCTATAATCACCTTGTCTTGTTAGTTATCTTCTTTTTTCTTTGCTTCACAATATTCTTTTAGCTCACTATTGTTTTTTCTCTTACATTTTAACCTCTATTTTGAAGCTGTCTTTATGAACAGGAGTAACCACTGAATTGGACAGTTGTCTGTTTTTCTTGGAATGTTATTGAACTTCAACGTTTATTTCTTAGTAAAAGTTACCAAAAAGATTTTTTAAGCTCACCATCTAATAAATATTTTATGTAGGAGATTATGGTTCAATGATATTATGTTCAATTACCTCAACTTATGTTTAATGTAACAATGATCGTTACAAGCTAAACTGATAAAAATTAATGTTAAAACTATTTTAAATTTAACAAACAAGGCTCCAACGACTATTCATGTATACAAAATAATAAAATAATTCTAAAATGTTAGTGTTAAACTTGCATAATCTTACATAAGGGGGTTCAAATCTTGCTCCACTGGGCACCATGCATATATTTCACAAACATTGGTCTTTGAATTAATATCTGAGGTAACACAAGCTCCAGTCATCATACCTAAATGAGATCAATAAACTTATGAAGACATTTTAATACAGCTAAGATGAATCAATGCTTTCTGATTATTATAAAATTTTGTTGGGGATCTTTTTTGTAACATTACAAGCTTTTATTTAAATCAGTATACCTTGTAACGTATGGACAATCCAGCTACTGGTTAATATGAGTTTTCATCATAATTGGTTACCAATAACTTCTATTCAAAGCAATCTAACTACATAGACCAGAACTAAAAAATAACTTGATAAATAATGTAACTAATTTTAGAAAACGTTTGATTGCAAAATAAATTGCAATGATGCAAATAATGTACACTATAATTGTGTTTTACTTTAATGGAGCTTTGCTAATATTGCTTACAGAATCACTAGAGACCAGATAAAGCTAGAATGAGTGTTTATATTTTCTGTAAACTTTATTCATTACAAGACTATTGTTACGTAATTTTAAAGTTTACACAGCATGAAATGAACACATGAAGCAAAGTTACTAGTGGGAAAAATTTACTGAAAATATTCAAAAATTACATCTTAAGCAAAATATCATTGTTAATTTCTTTTCAGTTCATTAGTTACACTTAATTTTTGAATTGAAGTACAGCTAAGGCTATATTAATTACAATATATTATTAAAAATATAAGAAAGGTCTAGTGTTTCAAACGATATAATTGTTAAATTTCACATGCAGATTGCACCATTAATATTGCTTGGGAATATTGGTGCATGTACGTTATACTGTTAAAAATAATGCAGCATACAACAACCTTCTTTGTATGTACAAATAGCTTTGTTTCAAATGCTCAAAGTAGTTATTCTTAATTTTTAGAAGCGATATGTAGCTAGGAAATCTTGGAAGAAGGCTAATTTTTAGCTTGTTGAAAGTAGATTAAATTCTTGCAAGTTTAATAATTAATAATATGTTTAAACAATTGATTAGCTAGAAACACTAAGATTAATAAGACAATATGGCTAACTTGTGTGTAATTTATGGACTACAATAGAGGGATAGCTGATCCCTGTGAAAGACAATATCAATCTATATTTTTTTTATTTAGTGAGAAACTTACTGAAATGAATAATTAATTCAAAAATATAATAAAAGCAACTTTCCTATTGTTAAAGTTGCTGTTATTGTATTTTTGAATTAATATATATTTTTGTAGAATTTGTCATTTGTGTAGGCCAAGTACATGCTTAATAATGTAGTATATACATTTATGTTTCACCAGTTTAATCTTCTCCTGCATTTCATCAGTAACAGTGATATCTCAAAAACCGTTTTTATGTGCTGTTTATTACACAATTTTAGTGGTAAAAACCAATAGAATTTTGTGATATTCAAAAATGCACCACAAAAAAACTACTCAGAACAAGAAAATATACATTAGTGGTAAATTACCATAGAAATATTGACTAGCTTTCTTTTTTTGAAATTGTCTTGACAATGCCATTGGAATAATAAAACATGTTCCTGCTCTCTAGGAATTATAGATAAAATACTTTTATATTTTTAATTAAAGATTAATATGAAATATTCTGAAATTGTTTGAAAGCGAACGGGTACCTCTCCAATTGCAAAGCAGGTTTCTGACATATGTAAAGGGTTGAGTGTGCTATATTAAAATGATTTTCAATATGCAAACCAACAATTCAAGTGACAATCACAGCTGACATAAAGTTTTGTTGAAACCTATTTATCAGAACTACATTTTGACACGTTTTTGTGTTTCATAAGTAGTGTGCCATTGCAAATCAATCACTTTTGGGAAGGGCTTGTAACAATCCTTTTCAACATAAAATTCATACACTCAGATCATAAAGACATGTTCAGGTCAGGAATTTAGATTTTTTACCAATACAGGGATATCTCTTGTACTTAATGGAAATCGAAAACAAAATGTTGTAACGTATTCTATCATTGAGCAGGGTCTTTCAAAATCTTTGGGGAAAATAATGCAAAATCCAATCCATATAACGATAACAACTGTTGTTCTTCCTAAACATTTGCTACAGGCTACTATCACTTGTACACAGTTGTAGGCCTAAGTTCCCAAATAATGCTTTCACTTTCAACAGAAATTTACTTGTTATTGTACTACATCTAATGTACAAATAAACCTACTTGTTCAATTTCAGGGTTAATTATATGAGTAATTGAATATATATGATAACTATCACTGACCTGAATACTTCACTAACTTCTCAATAATTGAACAAACTGATATTTGATCAATGCTTCATTGGTTCACATATTTATAATATATTCTTGTTTCTGGACATTTTGCAAAGTCTCTCAATCATTAACATTCACAAACATTTTAGGTATTTTAGGACTACTTTTATAAACTTCCTAAATTTAGTGTCATCATCATGTTAGTATTTTCCTTTAGCAAACAATTAATTTAAAACATTGAAAATATAGCTTGCAACAAAATGATTATGAATTAACTTCAGGCACCAGGGCCATCTAGAAAGAACCTGCAAGAAATCATACCCCAGGCATGGTAAGAAAGTGTGGCATCTTATAACAGGTGAAAATTCATGAAGTTCAGTGGAAAAAGCCATTGATGTGTCCCAGGCAACAGTATGCAATATAATCAAGAAGGATCTCCATCTGAAACTGAGACCATCAGAGTATGGGTTCATCAAGATAAGACTTCCAATCATACCTCACATTCAACCACTGCATGCCTTAAGCAGCTGAAGGATTTGTGTTTATATATACCTGCTAAATACACTCTGATTTTCCAAAGAAAAAACATAACAGAGAAACTGATATCAAGTTATGCACTTTACTGAAGCAGACTGAAAGATAAGGAGGAAAAACAATCAGTCAAGAAATGAACATACAACTGGTAAAAAACAACAAAGGCTTGGCTGTGGTGGAGGAAGAATCTTGACGTTCAGAATTCTAAACAAATACAGGAAAGTACAAATCATTTTCATTGTGAACTTTTTCAAAAGAAGCCACATCTGAAGCAAGGAGCTCCAGTCATTATTCCCATAGTACAGAAAACCTTTAATAAAGTCAGGCATCAGAATCACTTTAGTTAAAACATAAAAATAATATTAAAAAGCTTGAATGGCAACATAAAATACAGGTTATGTAGGAGTGTAGAAAAAGAAAACTAATTGAGAAGATTTTGCAAAGTACCATTTAAAAAACAAATGATAAGCTCAAACAACATTGAAAAAGAAAAGTCTACCAAGTTGTAATCTAGGAACTTGTCAACATAGGAGCCAGAGAAAATGGACATAACATAGACTACTGTCAACGTCTAAATGATATGAAGAATATGTGTTATACAGTAGAATTACCTGTGCCTGTGAGCATCTAGCATATTGGAGGAAGGGATGTTTTGATCTGTGAATAATTACTTAGGAACAAGAGTTTTCTGAAGACACACGTTAAAATGAAGAAATCAGTGAAGTGCAGGTCTACAGTGCATCAGTCAGCCAAAGTATCCAGTTATTGTCCAATCAAAAATAACTTATTATACACCTACTCAAAATATTTTTTCTACTTAATCTTGCTTTGTCCACACAATTGAAGATTATAAGCTTTCTTGAAACTTATCTCCTTTATCTCAATAAATTGTCATTATAAAATTAAGGTGTAATAGATTAAGTAACAAGTATCACCCCACTGTTTTGATTATACAGTTTTTCTCTACTCCTAATTCGTTACTTTCTCTCAGATTATTACTACTCAAGGTACTAATGTATAAACTGTACTACATTCTGTTGTGAAGAACTTTATTGTAGATGCTCAAATAAAATGTTCATAAAATTATTCAATCAAATGTGTAGGAAAATATTCTAACATACATTGTACAAAAACTTTTTTTTAGGAGCTAGTACGTAAGTTTCTCTAGGCTTACTGTTTTTGCATTGTTAATAAATATGTCATGTGGATGGTACATTGTTAAGGAAAACTTAACAGTTATAATTTTTAAGAAGTTAATGAAATACATCTGATTTTTATTACAACTTGATACATTTTTCGATGCAAGTTGTTTTACCACTGGTATTTGACATTGAAGAACAGTATTATTGCAAGTGCAGTTCTAGTATTATGTCAATAAAAAAATCCAATGAAGTTCACCATTTCCCAGTAGAGTAGGTGTACCAGCTTGACAGGTATTATTATTTGGATCACACACGGCTCCGGGTATTTCTGGATCCTAACCAACATATAATTTGAATTAAATAGCCTAGAATGGAATCAATTATAAAAATGGCAAGTAAATAATAAAAGTTTTGAAATATTTAGTTTCTGTTAAACTATACTAAAATAGCCTTAATTGATATATACAGGGAAAAAATGCTGTATAGTGATTTGATAGTGTTTTTACTTCTCCATTAGTTTAAAAAGCATAAACTAGCTAGAATCAGTCAATATATAGCATTTCTATGGATCATAATTACAGGTTTTTCTAAATGGTTATTTAAATACATACATTAATTTATTTTATAACTATGTTAAATTACAATTTTAATAAAACTACTAACTAAGTCAAATTTAATCAGGGTATATCAAAATTTTATATTTGAAAAGAAAATGCTAATTGCAAATATGACACTAATTCATATTCAGAAAAAAAAGTAAATTAGTAAACTCTATTCAACTTTATGAATGCTATTCATAGTTAGATTGTTCTTTACCTCAGGACAGGTGGACTGTGTCTGGTTTGATGTAATAACAATATTGGTAGTAACAAAAAAAGAACCACTTTCCTAAAACAACAGAAAGATATTTCATAATTTTTTGCACCTAACACAATAAATTTGGAAAGCATATTTAAACACTTTTTGTCTATCTTTTATATTCCACTATTTTATTCATACTTGAATTTTGAGTTCCTCTTAAAGACAAAATACTTAAAATAAAACAATCAGACATCAATTCTTATGGCTATGTCATTTTAAAACTTTATACATCACAGTATTTGACAGATGTTACACTACTTTCAATGCTTAGTCTTCAAATGTGTAACAAATTATTTTAAATAATAATATGTTCAATAAAATCAAGTAAAAATATTAATAGTTAAACATTCAACAACTGGCCTTGATACCAAAGCTACTTAAGCAAAAACTGTGTAAGGAAGAAACATATTGGTGTAAATAAATTCCATTTGTAAGCAACCAAGCAACATTTTCATGTAATAATTTATTTAATAGAAAAATCTGGCTTGTACAGAACAGTTACGAGCTCATTTCGGCAATGAGGTGTAAATGGAATGAGGATGTTTAGAAAAACTAGACACTTCGAGAATTTTATTTCCTTCTCTATTTGATTTATTTTGTATTTGATATTAATTTATTCTATGATTTATCCTTCAAACTTAATTTTAAGTCTTTTATTTACAAAAAAAAACAACGAATTTGGAAAATACAAATTCATACTATTCCAATGTCAGTTATTTCTTTCAAGAACTTAACTTACAGTAGCTGATGAGGACAAATAACATATTCTCTGGCCCAATCAGAAGTTGTAAAAAAAAATAGTCTCGTACTGAGTTTGTGGCTTTTACAGTAAGGAAGAATATTTTTTAAAACAGGTATAATGTTTGAATAACTGGTGCAATCATTCTCAAGTACCAACTTCAGTTTTATATTTTTATTTTATTTGTGTTGATATTCTTACAAGACTAGATTGCCAGTAATAACTGATGTGATAACAGCACAAACTATGGATCATGGAGACCCACCATGGTACCATTAACAACGTGACAGTGTGGATAGGCATGGTGCCAGAATAAACCAGTTACCAGTCTGAACCATTAGGGCAACAGCAAAATAAGTCATCGATATGAATTAATATAGTACTAGCAAAAATTCATTTCCTACTTTGAACCAGTATAGAATTAGCAAAAGCAGTTATTAGTGTGGTATTAATAAAAATAGCTACCAGTCTGAACCAATACAGTACTTTCAAAAACAGCTACCAACTAGAGTGATTGATCATTACAGAACTTACCGAAGGTGGGACAACATAGTCTGCAACATCCCAAATTCTTCTGTAGTCTTCAATGTTCCTTAAATGTGGATTAAACTCCTTGGTGGAAAAGTTAGTGTAAGCTGCCCCCTTGACCTTAGTGGTGGTGGAACTTTCAATAGAACTGAAGGTTTGATAACCCTTCATGTAGATAATGGCAACACTAAAAGAATATTATTCAATGCATGATTTTATATATTCACTGATTTAGTATTTCTGTTACTAGCAGTAAGTTACAAAATATAGTGCACAAAATGTATAACATCATGAGCATACTGTTTTTAATTATCTTGTAAAAATTAAGGAATAGTTTTTCAAATATCAATTGAAATATGTGTGTGTTTGAGTATTTCTGTCACTGAGTGAACTACATAATGAACATTAATGTACGTAATAAAAAAAATGATGTGGAGTACAACAGAGTATGTATAATACATTACACATATATAAAGATATAGCAGAAAAACATCAGCTTATTCAAGGCTGTGCAATAACAATTAACAATAGGGTCAAGATATACCATATGATTCTGCTAACTTCCAATGTTCGTACATTTGGTTGCTAAACCAACAAATTTCCGTGAATATAGGTAAGGATAAATTAAGGTAGAAGCAAGAAAAATCATATTTAAAGTTTTCCAAATAGATTATTTTTTGAAATCATAAAGCGTGTAGTTCAATATAATTTTTAAGTTACATATACAAAATATTATGTATAAAATTACAACAAAAGATTTAGAGTAAAACGTAGCTTTTTTTGCATTTTCAAGATATTATTACAACATAACTAAATTTTAAACATTTGTCACAACAATGTTAACACAAAGTCAATTATTATCAGTTTAATCATGCAAACGTATACAAGTATATCACATACGTATGAGATGGGCAAATTATGGTTACCAACATCTGCAAATATTCTGATTTTCTTTTTAATTTAGATAACTCAACTTTATTTTTACTAAACACAAGCATCGATACTGACAGGTCCAACAGGAATAATAAAACAAATACTTATTGTAAAAATTTATTTTGGCATTAAGGATCATATGTCTATCAAACTGTGGCTACCATTTTTCTTCCTCAGTGGAACTCCAGTGAACCATTTTATTGGAAAACTTTTATTGGTCAACTTCCATAAGAGCCCAGAATAAATTATAAGACAGCCAGAGAATGAATCAGATCATTTTAGTAAAAAAAAAGTTAGTTGACAATCATACCATAAATGTTTCATTAAATGTTGTATAAAATTTCAATCAGAATTTTTTGAGAGAGGAGTATGTACTGCCCTAGCTTCCATGAAAGCTAAGTCTGGCTCTTATTGTAGCAACAAACTTCAATTAAAAATAACAAAGCTTCATTTTAACGTTTTAAACTGTAGCTTACTTCTTGAAATAGCTCAAATGTAATGACCTAGTTAAATTTTATTTTTGTTAGTTATATGTTGTTTTTGTGGTATATTCAGGTAAACTCAGTTAATTAATCTTCGAGCTATCATATAGGTCTGCTTAATAACCAGGGATTCGGTCAAGATCAAGAACAAATGAAAATCTCTAACTAACTGAGTTGTGATATTAAATGGAATAATGAAACTGGAAACAAAGTGAAATGTAAAATGAACAATATTTTTAATAACAATAAATACAAACACATTGTATATACTGTATTTTCCTTAAACAGGAATGTCACTTTTACTGGGTTCTCTCAGCTGGCTCTCCTTTAAGATCTTGTTTTCTGCACATTGTGCAAGGTCATTGGCAGCAGTGCCCTTCAATGGTCATTCAGGTAATATCTAGAGGATATGGCCTTACCTGTGTTGTAAATGACCAGTCATGTGGGTAGTGCTAGTCATTTTGGGTAAATGTGACGTTTTTTGGAAATTCCTGCCCGTTGTATTTAGACAGTCTGGTGGAGGAAATATCTTCCCAGGCAGAACAAGTATTGTCCACTTGAGAATAACAAAGAAACAAAGGCAGTCAGAAAGAAATCAGCTTAACAGCCGTCTTGAGTTCTGTGAAACCTACACATACACAGAACAAAAAATAAATACTATAATGATACACTTAGAGGAAGATAGAAACACGTGATATTATCATACATCACAACTTAACATTGTAGCTAACTGGTATTTATGACTTTACACTAACATGGTATGGTTATTCAATTATCTGCATGGTGTAAGCTAGCATTAAATAAAATGTTCATTTAAGCCAAATTGAAGGAGAAACATTATTTTAATCAACTATGTACTGGCACAAAATCAGGTCATTAAATCATTTTTACATTTAACAATGAAGTGCAAATTGTCATAATAGGAAACGTTTCCCTTATATTTTTTTTTTCAATTTGAATTTTTTTCTAGGTTCAGAGGTTTTTGAACTGCTTATGCTATAGATATAAACATTTTTTTGTTTGTTTTTCAAGCGAGTAAAATTCCCTTTTGTTATCCACTTTGACATTCCAATCAGAATACCAGAAATACTAATGGCTTGAATCCTCAAGAGGCAGAACTCCATTCCTGACAGTTCCAACCCAATTTAACTCCTGTAAGTGCATATAAATTATGGACGGTCAAAAGCTTGAGCAATGTGAGATTTGTATTTTGTAGTCATGTTGAAATCGTATTGTTATTATCATGCCATTACAAGTTTTGAGAGGTTGCCTTTGACATCACTTTCTATTAATTGTTTACATCAGTGAAATAGCTATGGTTGAGCCTGTTTAAATTTCTCAATATGGCAAATACTGAAGACATTATAAATTATCATACACTACAAAAACAACGTGACTTCAGAATGAGTTGAAAGATAAGTGTGGATCAAACTTGAAGTCTAAGAAACAGCGCCTGCCTATGATGAAAATTGCTGTTACAAAAGATTTACTCCATAGATGTTAGACAAGCTCTAATACTAGATATTCGTCTGATATACAGTTAATGTCAAAAGTTGATTTAAAGGAGTAGTGATATCAGACATATCATATGTTTTCTACATGCTTAATTGATATAAAATGTTTCGTTTATTTTGTGTGTATGTACGTAGTTTTTGCATAAACTGGTGGTCCAGAAAGTCGTTGAGAATGCCTTGATCTAGTTGCTTTGGTTTTTGTTCTCTGTAGCAAATAATGTCTATTCTGCCCAGGAAGATATTATAGTAACATATAGCATCTGGATTGAATGTCTTTTGCTGGCCAAGTCGATACTGTATAAGTCTAACAGCCAACCACTACTGTGAGAGAACAAAGGTCACGAAGTGAGCTTTTCCATTTGGACAAAAAAAAAACGAGTTTACCTGTTAAGTTCACGCACACTTTTCTAGGTTTCATACTTGCATGTCATCGTATTTTAGTTTGTTTTTTTTCGCGGAATACAACTTAACTTTGCGTAAAATTATCTGTCGAACTTCTTGTTACTCTATGGAACCTACCCCATAACTCGAAGAAAAATCAGCTTCCGGGAATCTTCCCCATGAGATAGCGCACGATATCGCTAATGAATCACTATGGGTACTTAACAGCTAGGGCGAATAGAATTTAACTTTATGTTCAACGTTCCGTGTTACAACCACACGCATCTGGATGTATAAACATTTTGAAAAACTTTATGAAGAGAGTATGAGACACGTAGTATACATGCCATATTAATTAACGAAGTTGCACTGATGACTGAATTATCAGTTGTTTATACTTACTTGTCTCATGGACCAACGAGTAATCTAATCCACAGTTTTAAACAATGAATTTCAAAAACAGCGAGAGTCCCTACGAACCCCATCATGGCACCAGTAGTTCTACGTTTAAGCAGTACTATGTAATATTTCACTAGATTCGGCCATATTATTATTAGGTACATTGGCTTAATCATAT